TGCACGCCGCCTTTGGGATGAGTCCATACGGCTCCGGTCAGGACGCCAGTAAAAGGCGTGGAGAGCCGGGTGCAAAGAAGGTTGAGGCAGCGAAGCGAATTCAACAGTGGCGTTGGCTCATCATTGACGAAATCAGTATGGTGAGTGCAAATTTCCTTGCAGAACTGGATGCGCACTTGCGATCTGTGATGTCGGAAGCGAGGCAAGGGAAGGTGGGTTCCGATAAGGTGGACCGGCCGTTTGGGGGTGTGAATGTATTGTTCTGCGGAGACTTCTACCAGTTGGAACCTCCCGGCGGAACCCCGTTGAATGCGATTCCGACGTCGTGGGTGCGGAAAGCGAGGCAGTATGCGCCAAGCGCCGAAGAAGATCATGGTCATTCCATCTTCTGGGGCGACGGGCCAGGGTCGGTGGCGGGGATGACCGAATTGGTGGAGTGCAAGCGCTTGGAAGAGAAAGACGAGTGGTTCCTGGGAGTACAGGACGAGTTCCGACGGGGGGCCTTGACCGAAAGGACACACCAGTTTCTGCATGGAAGACCTACAGACGTTCCAGGGTCTTGGTTGGATGACAAGCCAATGTGTGGTTCACAAGCCTGCGCGCAGAACGTTGAAGCTATCGCAGAAAATAATGAGCGGGAGTGTGACAAGTGTAAAGAGGAAAGAAAGCGTCGATGTCTCGTAGCGACGAGTCCGACAGACGAACGATTCGCACTTCCGCAGTTCGTCGAAGCCACAGCGATTTATCCGAACCAGGATGTGAAGTGCAAGGTAGCGCGGCAGCGTGCTGTAGACTGGGCGGCGTGCCAGGAGAAACAGATTTCGTGGGTGTATGCGCGGGACACGGCACGTCACGCAACGTTTCAGGAACGGCCATACACCTCAGCAGACAAAGTGCGGTGGCTCGGATACCACGACAAAGCCTGTGCAGACATGCCAGGTTGGTTGCCGCTTGCCGTGGGCATGCCAGTTGCACTCACGGACCATTTGGACCGGTCAGAGAAGCAATTGCTACGGGGGTGCCGCGCGACGATACATTCGTGGGTGGTGGATGAAGACGAGCCAGACGTGGAGGACGTGGCGTCGAGAGTGCTTCGTGAGATGCCAAGGCAAATCGTGTTAGATTTTCACACCGACAAATGGACGCTCAAAGGGATGCCGGGACCAGGGCTCTATCCCATTGTCCCTCGTGCCAGAACGTGGCACCTGGATTCGTACCGCAAGAAACCCGTGTTGGGGGTGCGACGGAGACAGTTTTTAATTTCACCCGGGTTGGCCTGCACGGCGCACGCAGCGCAAGGGCGGACGCTCGACGCAGTTATAGCGGATTTGGAGGAAGGCAGGAACGTCAGCTGGATGTCGAGCTACGTGGCCATAACGCGCGTGAAGACTCGCCGCGGCTTGCTCATCTATCGGCCATTTTCGAGACAGCCGTACACGCAAGGAGGCATGGAAGGAACGAAGCTGTTGTTGCAAAAGTTGCGCGGGGAGACGTTGCCGTGGTCCGAAATCGAGAAGAAGGTGATGCCGCGGAAGACGTGCGGGAAATGCTGCGAAGTGAAGGAAAAGGCTGAATTCACGACGAATGAGTTCGCCGCGAAGTCGGGCCCGAGCTTCTGCTGCGACTGCATGGAGAATTTGAAGGGGGCAGGAGAAAAGTGGTGCACGACTTGTGAGCAATGGGCTGAGATGGCGTCCACAGTGGCGGGAGGGGGGGTCGAAAGGAATAGAGTGTTCGTGCGGACAAGCAAATGCGACCGGTGCGCAGGGCCCGCCGCCGCACGGAAGTCACGGAAGACATCGGAGGCGTGGCGGGGGCAGGTGCAGGAGAAGTTTAAGATTCGATGCGGTGAATGCCTGGAATTCCTGAAAACGGAGGCAGAAATTGCGGCGAACCAGTATGCGACGAAAAGCGCGGGAGAGAAGCTCTGCAAGAAGTGCGCGGGGAAAAGAAAAGGCGGGTGGAACAAGTGGAGCAAATCGCAGAAGGAAAGAGAGTGCGAGAACGAGATGAACGCTGCGCGACGAGCTGCGCGCCAACAGAAGCCGCTGAAATGTTCTGCGTGTCCGTCAGAAGCGGATGGAACAGGGGGGACGTTCACAGACACACGACATTTGACGCCGGATCAACTGCAGAAGTACTACAAAACGGGCGCAGGCCATAGACCAGTGATGTGCCGATCATGCCAGGAGGAGCACGAGAAGTCGCGGGTGCTACGGTGCTCCGCATGCCCGAAGGGGGCGGATGGAAAGGGACCCGAAATCATGGACACACGCCATTTGACGGTGAGTCAGAAAAGGCATTATTGGGACACGGGCACGGCGCATCGCCCTGTCATGTGCCACGCGTGCCTGGAAAAGTCGGAGGCCCAGGTTTTCCGTTGTGGGGCATGCCCGAAGGGGGCGGATGGGAAGGCGCCCGCGTTTACAGACGTGAGCCATTTATCGGACAGTCAGAAAGAACATTACAGGAGAACGGGCCAAACGCATCGCCCGGTCATGTGCCGCGCGTGCCACGAAAAATCGGAGGCCCAGATTTTCCGTTGTGGAGCATGCCCGACGGGGGCGGATGGGAAGGCGCCCGCGTTCACAGACTTGAGCCATTTGTCCGATAACCAGAAAGTACATTATAGGAAGACGGGCCAGGCGCATCGCCCAGTCGTGTGCCGCGCGTGTCACGATGCGCGCACGGGGGCGAAAAAGTTTGAATGCTCCGCGTGCCCACCGAACGGGGACGGGAAGAAACCAGCGTTTTCAGACGGGGGCCATTTGTCGAAAGACCAGAAGAAGAATTATTTCAAGCGAAACAACCCAGTTGTGTGCGCGAAGTGTTTTAAAGCGGGACGAGCGCCGCGGAGAGACCCTCCGAAACGCCCGGCGGAACCAAGTGACGAGCATTGCGACAAGGCACGGAAGTTGCGAGGAATCTGACCGCTGGGGACGGGATGGATAAGGCCCGCGTTTACAGACGTGAGCCATTTATCGGACAGTCAGAAAGAACATTACAGGAGAACGGGCCAAACGCATCGCCCGGTCATGTGCCGCGCGTGCCACGAAAAATCGGAGGCCCAGATTTTCCGTTGTGGAGCATGCCCGACGGGGGCGGATGGGAAGGCGCCCGCGTTCACAGACTTGAGCCATTTGTCCGATAACCAGAAAGTACATTATAGGAAGACGGGCCAGGCGCATCGCCCAGTCGTGTGCCGCGCGTGTCACGATGCGCGCACGGGGGCGAAAAAGTTTGAATGCTCCGCGTGCCCACCGAACGGGGACGGGAAGAAACCAGCGTTTTCAGACGGGGGCCATTTGTCGAAAGACCAGAAGAAGAATTATTTCAAGCGAAACAACCCAGTTGTGTGCGCGAAGTGTTTTAAAGCGGGACGAGCGCCGCGGAGAGACCCTCCGAAACGCCCGGCGGAACCAAGTGACGAGCATTGCGACAAGGCACGGAAGTTGCGAGGAATCTGACCGCTGGGGACGGGATGGATAAGGCCCGCGTTTACAGACGTGAGCCATTTATCGGACAGTCAGAAAGAACATTACAGGAGAACGGGCCAAACGCATCGCCCGGTCATGTGCCGCGCGTGCCACGAAAAATCGGAGGCCCAGATTTTCCGTTGTGGAGCATGCCCGACGGGGGCGGATGGGAAGGCGCCCGCGTTCACAGACTTGAGCCATTTGTCCGATAACCAGAAAGTACATTATAGGAAGACGGGCCAGGCGCATCGCCCAGTCGTGTGCCGCGCGTGTCACGATGCGCGCACGGGGGCGAAAAAGTTTGAATGCTCCGCGTGCCCACCGAACGGGGACGGGAAGAAACCAGCGTTTTCAGACGGGGGCCATTTGTCGAAAGACCAGAAGAAGAATTATTTCAAGCGAAACAACCCAGTTGTGTGCGCGAAGTGTTTTAAAGCGGGACGAGCGCCGCGGAGAGACCCTCCGAAACGCCCGGCGGAACCAAGTGACGAGCATTGCGACAAGGCACGGAAGTTGCGAGGAATCTGACCGCTGGGGACGGGATGGATAAGGGGGACGTGGAGGAGGGAGGATGGGGGAGCAGCCAAAGGCGGAGAAGGTGAAAAGTGAGCCAGTGGAGGGAATACGAGACAGAAAGCTGAGAGGGGAGACGGGAGGAGGGGGCGGAAGAGGAGGATGAGAAGGAGCAGGAGAACACGACGAGGACGACAATGGCGGCGACAGACTCGACGGCGTAGGCTGGGCACCTTTTTGGGGCCATCTTGGGGGCTTCGTTGACCGTTGTGGGAGCCTCTGGCGCCGTCGTCGTGAGAATCCTCTCGGGGGCCTGCGGGAGGCAGTTTGGAGGCTTCTGGGGAGCTGTTTTGGGGCAGCTTGGGGCTTTTTTTGGGCTTGTTGGGGGCCTCTTGGGGGCTTCTTGGAGCCTCTTGGAGGCCTCTTGGGGCCTCCTTGGCGCCTTTTGGGGCGGAAGGCTAGAATTTTAGGTTCGTGGTCCCCGTCTGGAGCCTTTCTTGGGCCCCTCTGTGGGCCCTCTTGGACTGTCTGAAGGCCCTCTTGAGCCGTTTTGAGGCGCTCTTGGGCCGTGTTGGGGCCCACTTGGGAGCCTCTCGGGTCGTCTTGATGCCGTCTTGGGGGCTTCTTTCGCCGTCTTGGAGCGTCGGAAGCCCGAAAAAACGCGAAGGCCAAAAACGTTGAAAAAACCAATGGAAATCGACGATTTTGGCCTCTTGGGGCCATCTTGGGAGGCGTCTTGGAAGCTTCTTGGGGCGTCTTGGAGGCATCTGGGGCCATCTGGAGGCCATCTTGACCGTCTTCGAGTGTTTTTTCGGCGACTCGGGGCCCTCTTGGACCGTCTGCAGAGCTTCTTGGGAGCCTCTTCGCTCGTTTGCGGCCCCCCCAGCAGACTCTCTGGAGCGGATGACCCCCCCCGGACCGCGCCGGCGGATCCCGGGGAATCCGGCCGGACCCCCCCCCCCCCCCCTCCAAAACGACCGGACCAGGCTCCGGGGGGAGGGGTTTGGGGAGGGGGGAAGCATCTCACACGCCGATGACCCCAAGGGGTCGGCGGATTCAAATCAGGGGGAGCAGACAAGCAGCGAGAGGCACACCGCAGACCCACCATAGCCGTCTGCTGTCCAGGTGGACGCGGAGCGGAAGGCGAACGAACAGGAGGAAGCGCCCGCCTTCCAACTTCGGAAAAGCGGCCGGAAAAAGTCACCGAAGGTTTCGGGGTGACTTTTTCTTGGGCGGGGGCCCAACGTGGAGGCGCGGCAGGGAGACCTGCTGGTCGTGAACGAAGTCCACGGGTTCGCCCTAGTCAGAACCCATCAGCTACAGCGCTGGGATCAGCGCGTGCGGGAATGGCGAGCAGTGGCAGCGGGCTGTGGCGCTACTGCGTGAAATGCGGGAGGCGAAGCTGGAGCCCAGCGTCATCTGCACTACGATTCTGATCGTTGCGCGTGCGAGACGCGCCAGCAGTGCGCCAGCTGCCCCCGAACGCCCGGAGCGCCCCGCCGCTCTCCGACTCGGGAGCCTCGAGACGGGGGTCAGTGCAGACGGGGGTCAGCCTGGGCACCGGATCCTGCAGGATCCTGCGAAGACCACCTCTGGCTGACCCGGGTCAGGGAGCCGCTCGTGGCCGCGAGGCGGCCGCGCATATTGGTTGACCCGGGTTTGCGAAGACCTGCGCTGCAGTTTTTTTCCTGCATTGCAGTTTTTGGTTTCCTGCTGACCCGGGTCTGGATTGACCCGGGTCAGAAGATTCCCGACCGACGGCTCCCAAGAGAGCCCCCAGGTGGCTCCAACACGGCCTCAGTCAGCCTGAATGTCGCTCCGAGACGCTCCGGAGGGCGCGAGGACTTCCCAAGAGAGCCCGAACGGAGTTCCGTGACCCGACGATGGGCCAGGTGCCTCCGAAGACGGCCCAGCCGGATCCCGGTGACGCTCCCCCGAGGCTAAAACCATCGATTTCCCATGGCCCCAGATGGCTCCAGGGTGGTCCAGGAGGCCCCGCCAAGTGCCCCAAGATAGCCCCGGAGGGCCCCAAGACTGCCCAGGAGAAGCCCAGGAAGCCCCGAAATAGGCCTCAAGAGGGCCCCTAGACTAGAGGCTCCTGACCAAGACAGCCCAAGAGGGCCGCAAACTACCCGCAGAGGTCCCCCAGAGGCTCCCCAAGAGGACCCCAGGACGGCCCAAGAGAGCCGCAAAGTGGCCGAAGGGGGCCCCCAAAGGCTCTGGAGAGACCCCCAGGAGGCCTCGAAGAGGTTCCGAGGAGAGCCCAGACGACGCCCCTCCCGCAGCACCCAATGGGCCAATAGCCCTCGCAGGACCATTCCCACATGCCCCAGAGTCTCACAAGAGACTCCGATGGTCCCCAAGGAGCTCCCAAGGAGAGTGCCTCAAGCCACGCCAACCTTTCGCCGACTCTCGAACCCGAAACGTCCCCAAGAAAGCCCCAGACCCCCCAAGGCAGGCCCCAGATCACTCCGAGATGCCCGAGAGCCTCCCAAGAGATCTGATAGCCCGCCCCCACAGAGCTTGCAAGAGCGGTCCCAGGGCCTTTCCGAGATGCCCTAGAGCCGCTCACAAGACTCCGACGCTTGCCAAGAGACTCCGACAGATTCCACGGAGCTCCCAAGAGCGGTCCCAGGAAGACACCCCCGTAGTTTCCGCGGAGCTCCCAAGAGCGATCCCAGGACCACCCCAAGATGGCCCAGAGTCGCCCTCAAGACCTCCCCCCCCCATACGGCCGAGTGGGGGTGACGGCGGGGACCTCCTCTGACCTCTTCCTCCCTCCCTGCCGCTCTGAGGCCTCCACTCCGCCTGTTCGGGGTAACAAGGGGGACCTGCAGCCACTTCGGTCGCTCCCCCTCTACGGCCGATGAGAGGTTGTCGGGGGGGGGGGGGACCTGCAGACACTGCGGGGACCACGCATCTCGCTCTCCCCCTATACGGCCGAGCGCAGCCCTCGGTGGCCCCCAAGACAGCCACAAGACCACGAGATCCCTCCCTGGAGCATCCTAAAATGGCGCACAGACCCCCAGGATATTCGAAGACAGCCTCCAGCCCCAGCTCCCGGAGCCTGCAGCAAATTTTGCAGGCAACCTCAGGGGTGACAGGGGGGGCCTTCTGACGACAGGGGGGACCTTCTGACAGCAACCTCACAGCACGCACGCACATTAAGTTTCCCGGGCTGTCCCCCAGAAGGAGCTCTGGGGGACAGCCTGGGAACGGCCCCAGAGGCGCCCAAAAACCGCACGAGGCCTTCAAGACGCCCCAAGCAGGCTCGGCAGGAGGGCCCAACATGCCCCCGACACTGCCCCAGGGACGCCCGAGCTGTTCAACTTCGGCGAGCTGTTCACCCACGGCGTGCGAGTCCCAGGTTCAGCCCACAGTGGATTTAATCCACGGGCTCATACTAGTCAGCTACAGCGCTGGGCTGAGCGCGTGCGAGAAGGGCGAGCAGTGGCACCAGGCTCTGGCGCTATTCGGCGAGATGCAGGAGGCGACCTTGGAGCCCGACGTCATCAGTTACAGCGCTGTGCTCAGCGCGTTCGAGAAGGGCGCGCAATGGCAGCGGGCTCTGGCGCTGCTCGGCATGATGTGGGAGGTGAGACTGAAGCACGACGTCATCAGCTACAGTGCTTGCATCAGCGCATGCGAGAAGGGCGCGCAGTGGCAGCGGGCTCTGGCGCTGCTCGGAATGATGTGGGAGGCGAGGTTGATTCCCAATGTCATCAGCTATAATGCTGGCATCAGCGCTTGCGAGAAGGGTGAGCAGTGGAAGCGGGCGTTGGCACTGTTCGGCATGATGTGGGAGGTAAAACTGGAGCCGGGCGTCATCAGCTACAACGCTGGGATCAGCGCGTGCGAAAAGGGCGAGCAGTGGCAGTGTGCTTTGGCGCTGCTCAGCGACATGCAGGAGAGACAGTTAAAGCCAGACGCCATCAGCTACAGCTCTGGCATCAGCGCGTGCGAAAAGGGCGAGCAGTGGCAGCGGGCATTGGCGCTGCTCGGACAGATTTGGGAGGCGAAGCTGGCGCCCAACGCCATCAGCTACAGCGCCGGAATCAGCGCGTGCGAGAAGGGCGGTCAGTGGCAGCGGGCTCTGGCGCTGCTCAGCGAGATGCGGGATGTGACTCTGGAGCCCGATGTCGTCAGCTACAACGCTGTTGCCAGCGCGTGCGCGAAGGGCGAGCAGTGGCAGGTGGCTCTGGCGCTGCTCATCCAGATGCGGAAGGCGAAGTTGGAGCCCGACATCATCAGCTACAGCGCTTGCATCAGCGGGTGCGAGAAGAGCGGGCAGTGGCAGCGGGCTCTGGCGTTGCTGACCGAGATGCGGGAGGCGAAGGTAAATCCCAGTGTTATCAGTCACAGCGCTGGGATGAGCGCGTGCGAAAAAGGCAAGCAGTGGCAGCAGGCGTTGGTGCTGTTCGGGCAGATGCGGAAGGCGAAGTTGGAGCCCGATGTCATCTTACCTACAATGCCGAGCACTCCGCGTGCCAGAAGGGCCTAGTAACTCTCCCCCCATCCGCGGCGACTCCACGGTTCCTGGGGCGCCGACATCTTGCCTCGAGAGAGCCCCGCGAGTAGCCCGAAAGGCCCCCAAAGCGCCGCTCTGCAGTGGAAGAGCGCTCCCAGACGGCCCGAGAAGGTTCGCACCACCTTCCACGGAGCTGTCGTACGGCTTCTGAGAGGGCCGTAAGGTTGATTCCCAACCATCCTGTGATGCTGGGTCCTCCTTTTGAGAAAAAACAGCGCCCCCACGTTCCTTCCTCCTTCCTCCTCCGCCCCTCTCCTCCCATGCCTGCCTCCGCCCTCCGCATGTCCACGTCGGCACACCACTCGCACGCTTCGTGCCCCCATAGGGAGCTCCACCGAAGGCCCCAGTGGGAGGGTCCGCATGGCACCGCCGCCCCATTCCGGCACACCCCTCGCACGCTGTGTGGCCCCATAGGGAGCTCCACCGAAAAGGCCCCAGTGGGAGGGCTCGCATGGCACCGCCGCCCCATTTCGGCATGCCTCTCACACGCTTCGTGGCCACATGGAGAGCTCCACCTGGGGCCCCAGTGGGATTGAGCATCTCCCTCTCACGATCACCTTTTCTACAAAATGACGCCCAGCCCACCCCGAGAAGCCTCCCGAGCCGTCCCCAGGGCGCCCAGGGAGCCTCCTTCTCTCCTCCTTCCTCCCTCCTCCTCCTCCCTCCTCCCTCCTCCCTCCTCCCTCCTCCCTCCTCCTCCTCCTCCTCCTCCTCCTCCTCCTCCTCCTCCTCCTCCTCTTGGATTTCACAGTTTCTTAGCTGAGAAGAACTCCGATATGCTTATGGATGCGCTCTTGGAGATTAGCCCGCAGTCCGCATTGCCGAAGAAGTGCGCCTCTTTGCATCGGCACGACGACCCAGCGTGCTCTCGACTGCATGCGTTGTTAAAGTCCTGGTCACCTAAGCGTCGCAAGCTTGCCACTTATAGCGTTGGGGACCCCACCACCAAACAGCCCATCAGCATCGAGGAGAGCGCTCGCAATCTGGCTGCATTCTGGGGGCCTGTCCACTCAGCCGCTGATGCGTCCCAGGACCCTCTCTACTGCAGTGTCTGGCACGAACTCATGACAGAGGTGCAGTCCGTGGCACCCGGTATTCTCTGGACGCTCTCGGAGGATGAGTTCTACGGCGTCCTAGGGAGTAAGTCGAAGGACACTGCTGCTGGACCCGACGGAGTCCCGTACAGTGGATGGCGCCTAGGAGGAGAGATTGCACGCAGGGCCCTCTACGGCGCTTACTGCGCTATGCTGGCTGGCTCTTCGTTGCCACGTGGACTCAACAATGGAATTGTTGTTTTCCCTCCCAAAATTGATGTGGATAGCGTAGGCCCTGAGTGCGTGCTTACCCCCTCCCAGGCCAGGACCCTCACGTTGTCCAACACTGATAACAAGGTGCTGTCCGCGTGCTTAGCCGTACCTTTCATGAAGCAGGCGCAGTATTCTGTTGTGTACACTCAGCGCGGATTCATCAAGGGGCGCAACATGCTGGACAACATCGTACAGCTTGAATCTTGGTTGTTGGAGTGGGCCTGCCACCGAGATATGAAGGATTCTGGGGTTATTCTTCTGGACCTGAAGGCTGCTTTCCCATCGATCTCACACCGTTGGATGATCGACTCGCTGAGGGGGATGGGCGTTCCGGCGTACATTGTTCGCGCCGTACAGAATCTTCACTTGGACATTTACGTAGAGGTGCAGTTCGGTGGAGGACGGCACCCTGGTTACTGGATCACCCGCGGAGTCAAGCAAGGTTGTCCATTAGCTGGATTGTTATTTTGGTTTTGCTTCGACCCCATTCTTCGAGGACTCCAGCGTCGTATCGATGTTCATCCGGGTCGCTCTCTTCCATTTGCTGACGACGTTGGCGTATGTTCAGGGAATTTGTTCGTCTCGTTGCCAGTCGTATTGTTATGGTTTTGTCAGACTGCAATCGTATCTGGCCTTGTCTTGAACCTTCAGAAGTGTTGCGTTGTGTTTGTGAGAGACATTGACACCCAGGACATCGTAAAAGCTTTCCGGAAACTGCACCTACGAATTCGGAGCATGACAGTTTCACGTTGCGGTAAGTATTTGGGCGTGTATGTTGGGCCTGGAGGATTGGAGAAATTTTGGGCGGGCCCTCGTCGAAAGTTTCTCCAGAGGACCTCGCATGTAAGGAGCCTCCGGCTGAGCATGGCGCAGAATATACGGGCATATAATGTGTTTGCTTCCCCTGTGCTCTCTCATGTCAGCCAAGTGTACCCCGTCCCCAAGAGTATCCACGACGCCGAGCACATCTGTTTGCAACGACTCACAGCGGGCCCTTATCATGCTGTACCTTCTAACCTTCTGCGGCAGATTGACTCTTTGGGTATTCGGGTGGCTCCCCGAGCCCTGTCTCCGAGCTGTCGTGCTGCCATGTTCCGCGCTGCGGCCAACAGTCGTGAGTTTGGTGACGCCCAGGCCTGTTTTCATCGTGTACGGCATTATGATGTTGATGTTCTGGCAATCCCTCGCCATCGAGACTGGCTTGAATTGAGTATCACATACAACATGATCCAAAATTACAACAGCATCGTCAGCATGAGCCCAGAGCTAGGCCAAGAGGAGATCCCCGACGTCCAGGCGAAGGTTACGACATGTCTTGCTCGACTTCTGAACCTCCCCAGCGCTGCCAGTCTCCTGCTTCCTAGGATTCGTTATTTTCTCCCTGGGGCCCCCATGCCTGTTGCCGAACGTGTAATTTTAAATCTGAAACTCGCCGCCCAAAAGTTCGGGCCATTCGTTTGCACTGCCATCCTTAAGTCTGTGTGCAATGGATGGCCGACCACACGCAGGTACAGGATGTACACACGACCGTGCAGGTTTGGCTGCGGCGTGGAGGCGGGAGACAGGATCGATCATTATTTTAGTTGCCCCCTCGTTGTCTCCCTCTTGTGTCGTCTGTTCCGTCCCCTTCCCCCTTGCTATCCTCAATGGGATTTCTCGCGACGCATTTTTGTACATGATCTTAGCTCTCTAGCGATGGAGGGGCTGCACGCTTGTCTCCTGATGCATGATATCCTTCTCTCTGCTTACAACACACTCCGGATACAGGATCGCCAAGGCCCCGACGGAGTCGAGAGCAATATCCGAGCTCGCGCCAGAGCGATCGCAAGACGGTCGGCTCGTGCTCGTGCGACGCTCTCCGGCTAGCTTGTGGGCGGCGTACGATTCGTGGAGTGCTTGGTTATAGCCCCCATGAGGGGAAGCGGACATTGGCCCCCGGACGGGCTCCCTTGAGGCGGTGCGCTCCTCCTCCTCCTCGTCCTCCTCCTCCTTCTCCTCCTCTTCCTCCTCCTCCTCCCAAGAGAGCCCCTACGACGGCCCCAGAGATCCCCAGAGGCCCTCAAGACGGCCCCGGGGACCCCCCAGACGGCCGATCAGTCCCCCAGGACGGCCCTCAGGGGGGGTCCGACAGGGCCAGTTCTGGGGCCACGGCCAGCGAATTGCGGAGAGGCCCCCCTAGAGGCTTCCAGACGGACTCTCGGGCACCCCCCAGAGGCTCCCGCAAAAAAAAAAAACAGCAGTTCCGTCGACACGTTTCTGATATGCTCCCCGAAGGCCCCAGATCATTGCGAACAGCCACCCTACAGGATCCTCCAGCAGCTCCCTCCAAACGGCCCTGATAGGCCCCACGACAGCACCAGGTGATTAAAAACCCAGATCCACACCTCTTGAGACACCTCTCCCATGGGAGGGGTTGCAGAAAATATCTGTCCGATCCAGCCGCGGACACTCGGGAACGCTGTTTCTGCGACCCCTCCCGCGCCGAGCGTGTCCCAAGAGGTGTGGGGTGTGGCTGTTGTTCCAATCATCTTGGGCCCCCTCCTGGTTCTCCCCGTCGTCGCTTTCCTCTGCCGCAGTCGCTCCTGCCAACGGAGTCGGACCCGCACGATTTCCAGGGGGGGAAAAGGAGGAGGAGGAGGAGGAGGAGGAGGAGGAGGACGAGGACGAGGACGAGGACGAGGACGAGGACGAGGACGAGGACGAGGACGAGGACGAGGACGAGGACGAGGAGGAGGACGGGCCAAGCACGAGGAGGAGGAGGAGAAGGAGGAGGAGGAGGAGGAGGAGGAGGAGGAGGAGGAGGGCGGCAGCGATAGACGGACGTGCTGCGCCAGGGTACGTTCGAGGAGGAGGAGGAGGAGGAGGAGGAGGAGGAGGAGGACCACCAGGAGGAGGAAGATGATGAGGAGGAGGAGGCGGAGGCGGAGGACGAGGACGAGGACGAGGGAGGAGGAGGAGGAGGAGGAGGAGGAGGAGGAGGAGGTGGAGCTGCTGCTGTTGCTGCTGCCCATTCCCCTGGATCTGCTCCTGCTGATGCTGCCGGTGCTGCTCTGAACGCCGTCAGAACAAACAAGCAAACGGCGCACCTTGAAGTACTGAGCAGTAGCAAGCGCACTCTGACCACTGGCATCTCTGGACGGTAGTCAACGGGTCTGTTCTAGTCACTAGTCTATCTTACAACGCCTGCGGAACCGCGTGCCAGAAGGAAACTGCGCCGAAAAACGGGACTGCCCCCCCACGTGGGGCTCGAAGTCGGCCTAAGAAGGATCCAGGACGGTCCAGGATGGCCCGAGACGCGTCCGGGCGGTCCGATACATGGTTTTCAGACGGTCCCACAGGGCTGCAAGGCGCCCCAAGAGGGCTTCTGCAGACCTCCAAGAAGGGCCGGGGCCCAAATCATAGATGCCCGTTCTGTTCCTGAAGGGTTTCGACGTCCTCGCCTTTTCGGGTTCTCGACGCTGCAATACGGCCCAAGAGGGTTTCAATATCGTCCCAACACGGCCCAAGAGGCTCCCAAGGGGGTCCCAAGAGAGTCCAAGAGGGCTACAAGAGGGGGAATTCGAACTGATGCGCCCCCTGCTCCAAGATGATCCCACAAACCGCCACCAGAAGCCCTAGGAGGCCCCCCAAGAGGCCCCCCAAGAGGCCCAAATTATGCCCCATGAGGCCCCCGAGAGGTCCCAATGACACGCAAAGCAGCCTCCAAGAGGCTTCCGAGGGAAGATCCCTCAGCCAGCTCTGGAACCGCGCCGGCCGCCCAGGAAAATAAGGCGCCCGTGCGCCTCTTATGTGCTCCCTTTCTTTGAATGGGCTCCGGTCTGAGTGGGCGACTCGTTGGGGAGTTCTCCCTGAGATTGCTCCGCACAGGCCGGCCGTTGGGGGCTTGCTCCGCGGTGCCTTCGAATTTCCGAGCCTGCGCAGCTCGCGCGCATCCTGGGGCTTCCTCGGGCGGCCACAGCCACCACAGAGCATCGCTGGAAGACAGGGCCCACATGCCTATGCGTTTTGATTTCCAGCCTTGGCCCTCGTACGGTCTCAAGGCGGCTCAGGATCATCCGGGGGCGGCCCAGGACGCCCAAAATTACCCCCCGGAAGGAAGCAGCCACAGCACGCAGCAGCGGTAAGCAGTACCAGCAGCACGCAGGGGAAGGCCGAGGCGCGCATGCCGGCCGTGCACGTTATAGCGCATAGGAACGTGGAACGTCCAGGGTTGCTGCGGCAATTCGACGATCAGGATCGACGAACTACGGAACGTCGTGGACGAGCAAGACATCGATGTACGACGTAGTATCCCAGAAACACACACCTGAACGGCGCCGACTATCATACGCGCAAGAGGGTTTTAATTGTCAAGTCTGTCAGTGCACAAACGGACGAAATATCTTGTGTAGGTTTTGGCTTCATTGTATCATCTCGTATCCGCTCCGCAGTGTGTCTGTGTATGCCCTTCAGAGCGGCACCGATTATCGGCCCAAGACCCTAGGATCGCTCCCGAGGCGCCCACGACGGCCCAAGAGTCACCCAAGGCAGCCCCAAGAGCGGCCAAAGACTGCCCCAGACGGCCCCAAGACGGCCCCAAGCTGGCCCTAGAGGCGTCCAAGACGGCCGCAGACGGCCCCAAGACGGCCCAAGCACCCAAGACGGCCCAAGAGGCCCCCAGTCCAATGGGGTTCCTAAAAGGCCCACAGGAGGCCGAAATGAACCCCCGAAAGGCCCCCGAACGGTTCCCAAGGAGGAGGAACCGCCCGCCATCAGTGGCCGCACAGGAAGCGTTGCCCTCCTCCGTGGGTGCGGGCGCGAGCGAATGAGCGCCGAATTATGCACGTCAACATGGGGGCTACTTCCCTTTGCTATTGCCTCCCAGCTCCAGGGCGCCCTTCGCCGCTGCCGCCCAAGTGAGGCGAGATACACCAGAGGCCTCCAGGCCTCTAGGGAGCGCAGTCCCCGACACAGTCTGATCCCAGAGGGGCGCGGAGACGGCGCCCAAGAGGACGTGCCTCCCTGCGCGTCCGCAGGGAGCCTCCATGCACAGTCCACCGTGCGATATTTCGAGTGCCCTGGGGCAGCATCGATCTCTCCCGTGGAGGCAGACAGCAGCAGCGGCGGCATACAGTAGCAGCAAGCAGCTGCAGGCAGCGGGTGCACGCACGCACCAGTCGGAATTGGCCATCAGCAACAACCTAAAGCCACAAGCAGCAAGAACACGCAGCAGCGGCCTCAAGCACTACCAAGGTACACAAAAGCGTCAGCAAGCAGCAGCACGCAGTAACATGCGCGGAATGTGAGGTCGGGCCCCGCAATCAGATGCCGTTTCGTGCAGATTTCGTGGACGGAGTCCACGGGGCAGTCCTACCGACGTCGCCAGCCTCCTTCTGGTGCCCACAACCCACGACGACGACCACCACCACCACCACCACCACCACCACCACCACCACCACCACGGCAACAACGTCGACAACGACTGGTACGACGGCGGCCTCGCGGCGGCGACGACAACGACGCCGACGATGACGGCGCCGACAGCGGCCACGCGGCTGTTGGAGCGCTGCTAAAGCTCGGACACGAAGGCGCGGTCTCGCTGCCGCCGCCCCGGCCGCCGCCGTGCTTTTAGGTGTTCGGCACAATCTCCGCCGTTCCTCCGAGAACCATTCCAGAAAGATGTCGTGGACGGAGTCCACGGGTCAGCCTTAGTCAGCTACAACGCCGGGATCAGCGCGTGCGAGAAGGGCGAACAGTGGCAGCAGGCTGCGTCGCTGCTGAGCGAGATGAGGGAGGCGGAGTTGGAGCCCGACGCCATCCCTTCTACAACGCAGGAATGAAGGGGCCCTGGGACACACAAATAAATACACACAAATAAAAACCTTCCCCATATGTTCGCATATTTTCTGGGTTTCTGTCTTCCCGCCCAATTCCCATATTCTCCCATATTTTCTTGGGGATCGACGATTAATTGTGTCTGTGCGTTTTTCCCCTCCTGAAGGAGCCCCCGCGCGCGCGCCAGCACAGGCTGTGGATCGATGGGCTGTTTCTGATGGAGACGCCCTGGAAGGCCACAGCGCGCCCGCAGGGCAGCCTGGACCGCCCCGCGGGCCTCGGCCTGAGCTCCCGGACGGCCCGGCGGGGCCCGAATGAAGGCCGAAGAGGCGCCCAAGACAGCCCCAAGACGGCCCTAGACAGATTGACAACGGATCAAGAGACCCCGAAGACACTCCAAGAGAGGTCCAAAAAGGGCCCCCTAAGACAGCTCCCAATCCACACGGAAAACGTGCATGTTCTGCTTATTCGTGTTTTGCTGCTCGTGTTCGCCACGTTCCAGGAGGCCCAAGAGGCCCCCCGAAATCCTCCAAGGCAGCCTCAAAGGCCCCCACGAGAGCACCGACAGCCCCAAGAGCGCCCGAGAGGCGCACAGGACGGCCCAGGAGGACCCCCCAAAGGTTCCAAGAGCGGCGCAGGACGGCCCAAGACGGCTCCCAAACGGCCCCAGAGGAGCCCCTGAGAACCCCAGACGGTCACAAGACAGCCCAAGTACCGCCCAAGTACCGCCCAAGGCCGTTCTTCAGGGCCCCAGGAAGGCCAAAAGAGGCCTTCAGAGGCTCCCACACAGCTTCCAAGCTGTCCCAGGGGGCTTCAAACTTGTCTCCACAATGGCAGGGCCGAGCAGAGTTCCCTGAAACATTTGCCTGCAAGCTTATAGTTCAGTTCAGAAACCGAGTACGGGGATGGCAAGGCCTGGAATCGGTCGGGCACTTTGGTCTCCCGTGGTCTTCCGTGGTTTCTCGGTGCAGCTCGTTTTTGTTTTACATTGTGGTATGCTATGTTGTGGTCACTCTTAGTGTCTCCGCCTGTACCTTCTCTCTGCTCTGGCCTATGTTGAAAGTTGTTTAGGGTCTTCTGCCGCACGGGTATGATTGACGTTCTCGCATTGGCCTAAGAGGCCCCCAGTGTCGCTCCAAGACGGCCTACTAGTCCCCTAAGAGGGCCCCCAGGCAGCCCGAAGAGGGACCCCAAGAGGGGGAACCCGATCTGACGTGTCGCACCCGACGCCCCACGACGAACCCCGAGACCTCCAGCAGGCCCACACGCGGACCCCCAGAAGCCCGAGAAGGCCCCCAACGTGTTCAAATCAGGTTCAAAGTTAGACCCAAGAGGGCCCTGTGGGCGACCCAAGCGGAGACCAGATGTTCGGCCACACGCGCGCGCGCAGAGGCCATTGAGACGTTCGCGTCCTGGCATCCTTCTGTGCCTCCCTTTCTCGCTCCTTGCTTCTCGCTCCACGCTCCTCGCCGCCCTCTCCTCGCTCATCGCCTCTCTCTCTCTCTCTGCTTCCCTCGTCGCTGATGCCTCCTCTCTTCTCACCCCTCCTCCCTCCTCCCACCTCTCTCCTGGTCCCTCGCTTCTTCCTCTGGGCTACTGGCGTCTACCTTCCCCCTCCTCCTCGGCCCTCCCTCACCGCTCCCCGCCTCTCTTTCCTCGGCCGTCGCTCCCTTCTTCTCGCTCCTTGCTCCTCGCTGATCGCTCCTCGCTTCCCCCACCTCACCCCTCGACACTGACACCTCGCTCGTTGCTCCTCACTCCTCGATCCATTCACGAGCTGCAGGTTGCGTCAGCTAGCAAGGGTACCAAGAAGCAGCACTCTGACGCCTCAAGCGGCAACAGCGAACAGCAGCAGTTCGCAGCAAGCAGCGGCAGCACGCAGCAAAAGTAAACAGCAGCAACCACATGCAGAATGCAGCAGCACCCTGCAGCTGCAGGCAGCAACAACGGAGGCGAAGTCCAGCCCAGCGTCATCACGACACCATTTCTGCAACATCTCTGCCCTGGCCCAACGTGCCATAACGTGCCATCTCCAATACATTTTGTGGCCGGTAGCCCACGGATCAGCACCAGTCAGCTACAGCGCTGGTATCAGCGCGTGCGAGAAGGGCGGGCAGTGGTTCCAAACTTTGGGGCTGCTTAGAGAGATGTTGGAAGCGAAGCTGGAGCCCGATGTCATCAGCTACAGCGCTAGTATCAGCGCGTGCGAAAAGGGTGAGCAGTGGCAGCGGGCTTTGGCGCTGATCAGCGAGATGCGGGAGGCAACGGTGGAGCGTTTTCGTTTTGAAATCTGCCATTCGCGCGAGTGAGAAGGGCGAGCAGTGGCAGCGAGCATTAGCGCTGCTCAGCACCATGCGTGCGATGGCAACTACAGCGCTGGTATGAGCGCTTGTGGAATGGCGAATCGTGTTGAGGGACTTTGGCGCTGCTCAGCGAGATGTGGAAGACAATGCTTGATCATGGCGTCATCAAATGTCATCAGCGCCAGCACTGGAGAGGGTGCCTGTGAAACGGTGAGCAGTGGCAGCGGCCCGTCTCACTGCTCAGGGAGATGCGGGAGGCGAAGTTGGAGCCCGACGTTCTTACAGACATCTCGCGGACCAGCGCGCAGGAGAAGGGCAAGCGGGCAGCGAGCCCTGTGTCTGCTCGGCGAGATGCGGGAGCCGAAGTTAGAGATGGATGCAGCCCGCGACCGCCGCCCTGCTGCGAGGAGACGGTCTCACGGGCAAGAGCCCGGGTGCAGGTCGCAGAGACAAGCGGGCCGTCCAGACCGTGGAAGCGGGCGGGCTGGCCGCTGCCCGTGCCGACGCGTGCGCGCGCGAGCACGGCGGCAGGCTTCGGCGCGCGGCCCATGCGAGGTGCACGCGGAAGGCCCAAGCAGGAGCATGGCGGCCGAGCCGCGACGCCGGGGCCGAGGCGCGGGCGACGGGCGAGCGGCGGCGGCGGACTCGGGCGCTGCTCCGCGGGACGCCCGAGGCCCGGGGTGGCGTTGGCGCTCGGCGCTGACGGCCGATTTCTGCCAGTCGCGACGTCCGCTCTGAAGGAGCATGAGCTCGTCCTCTTTTTCGTCGGCCGGCAGCGGGCGTCGGCGGGGGGCGGAGCTGCTCTCTGCCGGCTTGTGCGGGGCGGCAGGGCTGGGCCTCTCCTGCCTGCTTGCCCCCCTTCCTTTCCTCTCCCTAAGCCTCCAGCCCCCTCGTCTTCCTTCTTCCCTCCCTCCCTCCTCAAGCCTGCCTCCTCCTCTCCTCTTCCCTCCTCCTCCCTCGTTCCTTCCTTCTTGCTCCCCCGTTCCTGCCTTCTTCGCGGGGCCAGGCGGGCGCTGCTGTCCACTCCTTTCTCTCTTTCCCTCCCCCTCCGCTGCCTCCCCCCTGCCTGGAGCGCTGCGCCGTCAGCGCTCCAGGCCGAGTCCGAGCTTGCCGGCCTGTCTGCTCCTCCTTCACGGGTCGCTCTGCGAAGCGAAGGCCCAGGGCCTCCGTGCCTCCCTCGCCAGCCTTGCTGGGAGGATGGGCCGGGGCCGGGCCGTGTCCTGAGCGGACCCGTGCGGGGGCCGCTGCGGACAGGCTCGCCGACAGCCCATGCGGGCTCCTCGCGCCCCGCCCCGCCCCGACCAGGGAGACGTGCAGATGCCGACGCCGCCACGCTGCCAGACCCCTACAGGAGCGCGTTCTGACCAGGAGTTCGGGGCGAATCCAGCCGTGGCGACGCCGGCAGGGTTGCGGTGCCGGCGTCTTTCCCCCCCTCTCGCCCATCGCCGACCAACGTCCGCCGTCCCCAGACCTCCGGCGTCGCGCTTCCGTAAGCAGCGGCTGCGATAGGGGTCCCATGTGCACCATAAGATTTGGCTTCTCTGTTGCCAAGGAGCAATTCGAGACATGTGCCGCCCGCGTGCCCGTGCCCGTGACGTGCCTAAGTTCCAGAATGCGAAGGATGTGCCGCCCGCACCGTGCCGGAGTTCTAGAACGCGAGAAGTTTCCCGCCTGCGTGCCGCGCCGTCCTGATGTTCTGGAGCGTGACAGTGTGCCGCCCACGTGCCGCGCCGTGCCGAAGTTATAACATGGGAGAGATGTGCCGCCCGCGTTCCGTGCTGAAGTTTAGTAGCGCGAAGGATGTGCTGAATTTGCAGAAGGCCAGCGCCTGTGTTGTGCGTGCCGTGCCGTGCCGCGCCGCGCCCTGCTTGCCGTGCCACATAGACCTTCAAGCTCCGATGGTGTTGAGGGTTTCCCTTCACTGTGTAAGCTGTTTCACAGCGCGGCGTCCAAGAGGCCCGGAGTTTCTTCTGCGGGCCAGCGCTTCCTCCCCGCGCCGTTCTTTGACGGCCCTGGGCCCCGGCAGTTGAAGGGCCCCCAGAGGCCGAGAGTGACCAGACCCCTTTCCGGCGCGACCTCTTTGGCGAACGGAGGTTTCCTTGCTTCTCCCCGCGCCCGAGCCCGCGCCCGCGCCCGAGCCCCCTCCGGGGGCCGGGTCTGGCGTGGCGCCCGCCGTCGAGACCAGGCCCGCGAGGGCGGCCTGCCCCCCCGAGCCCGAGCCCGAGCCCATGCCCCAGCCCGCGCCCGCGCCCGAGCCCCTCCGGGGGCCGGGCCTGGCGTGGCGCCAGCCGCCGAGCGAGGGCAGCGCGGCGGGCTCCGCCCTCCAGGGATGGCGCCGGGCCTGGCCAGGTTTGGCGCCCGCGTGCGGACAAGGAGGGGGGCGGCGGTGGCGACGTCGAGCGGGAGGAGGGAGGCCCAAGCGGAGGAGGAGGAGGAGGAGGAGGAGGAGGAGGAGGAGGAAAAACAAGAAGAAGAGGAAAAACAATCATAAGAAGAAGAGGAGGAGGAGGAGGAGGAGGAGGAGGAGGACGTCGACAAAGACGAGGGGGAGGAGGACGAGGAGGAGGAAGAGGCGCGTGTGCACCGCGGCCGCCGCCGCCTGCGCTCGACCGAGATGCGCCGCCGCCGCCGCCAGGCCCGCGGCCTTGCCCCCCTGAGCGCCGCCGCCGCACGCGCCGCTGCACGCCGGCGCCATGGGCGCCTGCCACGGCCACTGCCACGCCCTCGCCGCCCTGGGCGCGGCGCCGCCCGCGCGCCGCGCGGCGGCCGCGCGCGAGGCGGCCGCGCGCGAGGCGGGGCGGGCCGACGACCGGCCGACGACCGACGACCGGCCGACGACCGGCGACCGGCCGACGACCGACGACGACGACGACGGCGACGACGACAGACGACGATGACGACGACGACGACGACGACGACGACGACCGACGACCGACGACGACCGACGACGACGACCGACAATCGACGACCAACGAAACCGACGACCACGACGACGACGACGACGACGACGTCGATGTCGACGACGACGACGACGACGACGACCGACGACGACGACCGACGACGACGACGACCGACGAAGACGACGACGACGACGACGACGACGGCGACGACCTACGATGACCTACGATGACGACGACGACGACGACGACGATGGCGACGACCGACGTCGTCGTCGACGACGACGGCGGCGGCGACGACGCTCACGACCGACGACCGACGACCACCGACGACCGACGTCGTCGACCAACGATCGGCGACGTCGTCGACGACGACGTCGGCGACGATGACGGCGACGACCGATGACCGACGACCGACGACCGACGACGACGACGACGACGGCCACGACCGACAACCGACGACCAACGACCGACGACGACGACGACGACGATGACGACCGACGACCGACGACCACCAACGACCGACGACCGACGACCGACGACCGACGACGACGATCGACGACGACCACGACGACGACGGCCGACGACGACGATCGACAACGACGACGACGACGGACGACGACGACAACGACGACGACCTGCGACCGACGACTCACGACCGACGGCCGACGGCCGACGACCGACGACGACAACCGACAACCGACCACGACGACGACGACGACGACGACCGAGGACGACTGACGACCGACGACAAGGACCGACGACCGACGACCGACGACGACGACCAAAGACCAACGGCGACGATGACGACGACGACGGCGACGACGACGATTGACGACGACGACGACGACGACGACCGACCGACCGACCGACCGACCGACCGACCGACCGACCGACCTACGGCGACGACGAAGACGACAGATGTCAACGGCAGCAACGACGAGGACGACAGACAACAGACGACCGACGACGACGACCGACGACCGACGGTCGACCGACTGACCGACCGATCGGCGACCTACGGCCGACGTCCGACGATTGACGACAACGGCGACAAACGACAGACGACAGACGACCGACCGATCGACGACCTACGACCGACGGCCGACGATTTCACGACGACGACGGACGACCAACGACCGACCGATCGATCGACGACCGACGACCGACCGACCGACGACCGACGATTGACGACGACGACCGACGACGACCGACGACGACGACGATGACGACGACGATGATGGACGACGATGGACGACTGACGACCGACGATCGACCGACCGACTG